GCTTTTTTAAACTAAGTTTGGTGCTATGGTGTTTCTGTTTCATAAGCTCTACGAAACTCTACGAACTCTATGTGATTTCCCTTCTCTTCATCAAAAGATTTTTGATGCTTTTAGTTAGTACATTTTAAGAAGAAAAATCTTAACCTAATTAAAAACGTAAAGCTTTAGATTTTTGTGTATTACTCAACCAATTTATTTTGTTCTCTACTGGACAAGTTTCCACTGCGGCTCTACATGACCGCTCTCTTCTCTATTACTTTCAAGCTTTATGAAGTAGCAACCAAATTTCTTTTCTTGTTCATCCTTGGTTCATTGATTAAAGGTTGACTTAGATATTCAATGATTTGTCACATCTTATGAATTTAAAAATTTTACTGGTTATAATGCAATTTACTGTGTCATGATGTGTTGTAGTCATGTTTAATTTGGAATGCTTTTTTTGTGATTTTGACATACTTATTTTAATAATATGAATTCTTATCAGTCTTAGATATTGCCCCTATGAGGTGGCTTACGCTTCACAAGTCTTAACCAAAACACCCTAAAGCCAATTTAGGTTTCAACGTGTGTGACGTGTAATTACACTACATGCATATATGAAATTATAGAATGCTGAGACAATTTTGGCTACCTAGCATTAAGTTTTAATTTTCATTTAATAACTATTCTGAGACTTTGCTTAAACCATACTGATATAATATTTTCTATTAGGTTCAGACATAAATAGCCCCCCAAGTGCCAACTTTGCTAATTAATTTGAAATTTAGATGGTAGGAAAGCCCCCTTGCCTTCTTCCTCTAATAAGCTTGGTACAATCTTTTGATAAGCACCATATCTAAATAGCTCTATACTCGGCTAATTAATTTGAAATGCATGTACTTCAGGAATAGTAAAAAGGTTTGTCTTGTTCTTTTTTCTAGTATTTTTAAAATTTTATTCTATTTTATTTTTCAACCAAATATCTGAATTTGTCATCCTTGCATCGTCAATAGAACCAACTATTAACTCTGATGTATGAAAAACATATACTCTCTGTCAATACAGTATTTTGTTCCATTCAAGTTGGAGTTATGAGTTGACTATCACTATGTCACTAACTTTGGTTACAGACATATAACCTTTGTTATTTGATTACATATTTTCTATCTTCATTTTTTACTAATGATTAATCAATACAGTTTTAAAAACCTCATATTCTGATGCAAAAGATTATAGTATTGGACATGTTTTTGAATGAAAAATGTGTGTCAAATTGAAACAATAGGGTTGTTTAAAATTGCACACACATTGAGAAAAGAAAAATAAACATAGATAAATTTGGATAAATGATCTTAGCTGTTGAATTTTAATTTGGGCCGTCATAAATCATATTCCGTATGTTTTATGTTCTCAATATAACAATGCCAGACAAGTTACAACTCTTGGATTGAAACTGGATTGTTTAGAAAAATCACGCCCAAGTAGCCTGCGCGACATACCCAGGATGTGTGCCGTATGCGCTGAACACGTGGCAGCCAACGTGCATGGTACTCCATTGGCTGGCTTTCAGCTTTCACTTTTGCAGACTTGCTGCCTCTTGCTGCAAAGAGCACTCATTGTGGGGCAGTTTGGGGGTGAATATGGCCATATGGGGTTGGGCTTTCCACTCCAATGTCTAAAGACTAAACATCTAAAGAGACCATGACAGTATTTTTTTTTAACCCGGTAGGCAAACCTCCAAAATCAGTGGGGCAAACGCTGGGGAACGTTTACTGGATTTTATTAAAATATAGAAATAACCATTACAAAAAAGAGGGGGACATAACCAAAACCTCTCCTGGGTGACATAACCATGACAGTATATCATAATAACTATACTCACAGTTTGTCCTTAAGTTCTATTTTAGTACGTAGTAATATTTTAGTAATATTTAAGTCAAAGAGAACATATCCTTAATCTTTAAGTTATTTGTTGTGGAATGTGGTATTCAGCAGCAGTGACGGGGGAGGCGGCAGTGAGAGGGCTTCTCAAAAATCCCAAGCAAGATGAGTCTGGCATGTCTGGTATGCCATAGTGTAGAAAGTCCCTTGCACTCTTCTTTCAGAAGTTACTCTGTTTCAAGTTCATCAGACAATGAAGGAAGATGCTCTGCTATTTCCAGTTGCTTGACCCGGAAGACCTCGCTTCCGCACTCTTATCGTGTTACGAAATCTAAGGTGACACCTCAGCCTACTGCTGGTCAGACTGGTAGTGTTGTGACTGGGGGTACCCCCAGGCTAGTTCGGAGCCGTGCTGTCTCAAGGGATCTTGTTAGAGACTGGAACTTTGAAGGGGTAATTGTGTTAGCAGAACGTTAATACCGCAGACACTTTGATCAATCAATGTGTTGTGAACAACCACCTCAGTTGCTTTGTGTTGGGTTGTAGATAAAATGTCACAATGCTATTGTCTCAATCAAAATAAAAATAAAAAACTGTACTAACTCGAATAAATTTTGAGGTTTTACCCTTGTTCATATATGTGTGTGTGCGTTTTGCCTGCGGTTGCTTGAGTGAGTTCATGCAGTGGCTGATATTTATTTAGATTGAGAAATATTGTGAACTACACACATTGTATCAAGGACATAGACTATATTTCCAGGCATAAAATCAATGCTGAAATTAGTACATTTGTCAGTATATAAGACATTAAGACGTCTTTCAAATTTCAAAGTACACTAGGGATAAAATAAGTCGTGGTTGTCTAAAAACTCTTGGAGGCCAGGGTAAATGTAAACTAGTTTACCTTAAAAATTTACCGCATTATCTTAATAATTGCATAAATCTCAATCACAATATTTTTCCGTGCTAACTAATAAATATACTTAAATATCACTGGGGAAAAAGAATCTAAAAACAGATACAAGTATATGACTGCTTTTAAATATTTTTAAAAAGTGACTAAATGACATTAATATGTTCCATTCTATTTAAATAATAAAGTGGCATGCCACAACACCTCAATGTAACTATTCCAACTTCCAATACCAATTAAACTGCCATTGCGCCCCATCCCAAACTCAGTGACCCTTTGCCACCATCCCAAACTCAGTGACACCGCGTCACCGCCTGCGGTATAGCAATTCAGATATAGAAAAATGTCAATGTGTGGATGTTTTTACTTGGACCGCTTTCAGTCTCAGACTAGACCAGACTTAAACAGACCATGTCAGACCATACTTAAACAGACCAGAACAGACCCGACTTAACTATTATTTGATCAAGTTCTATATTTTAGAATTAAAAAATAAAAGTAGTCCATCTCATCTTCTTTTGTTTATTATTTAAATAAAATATAAAAGGAAATAAAAGATAGAAAAACAAATAATAAAATATTACTACGTATAAATTAAAACTTCTAACATTTTTTCGATCACTAGAAACAGATTCACTTCTCACAAAAAATAAATTTATAGTTGATTATCATTTAAAATAACACATAAAATATTCAAAGAAAACTAAATGAGTTAGTGGTGCAAATGTTGTAATATTCACAACTTTATTCAAATGAATCATGTAAAAAAATATAAATGCAATTTGTTATTATTATTGCCAAATATCTTTTCATACAGGTAGAGTACACAACATAACAAATACAAATATGTCGTATTAGCTAATCTTGTCATAATGAATGTATGAAATGTGTAAAAGTTAAAATGATATATGCTAAATTTGTATTTTTCATGCTTAAACTATTTATATATTAAAGATAAAGAGTGAAAAAAATACAAAGTATTTATATATTACAAGTTGTTCGGTGTTTGATTTGATTTACGGTTTTTCGGTTTTAAACCAAATCAAACCAAATCATTCGATTTGAGAAAATTTCTACCAATCGGTTTACTTAAGTAAACTCAAACCAAACCACCATTTTGCCCAGTCCTAGTAACTACTATAGTCACTACACTTGGTAGAACACATGTTTGTAAACAATATTATTTTAGTTATGTATATGTAATCACGGGCGGAGCCAGAGCACTGGGCCGGACTGGGCCGGTACAAAGAATATATTTGGGAAAAAATTTACACAGAATTTTTACACTAAAAATATGAACATTTTTTTGGACCAGGACCAAGGTTGGCCCTCCCCTGTATGTAATTATTTCTTAAATGAAAGTTGATGTAGTTATATTTGACATATATGTTGTGATTAATTAATGTGCTAAAAGACAGACTTTCTCTCAAAAGTTCAAGGTAACTTCTAAAAAAACTGAACTTTTAAAACAACTAAGACAAATATACAACTAATAGCATTTAGAGACTTTAAATATTAAAAAAAGTAGAAGACCTCTAAACATTCAGTCGAGAAAAGTTTTGATCCTATTTAATATTTATGCTCTCTACATCATACTCACCTTATTTCATTTAAGATTCATACATTTCCCTCAACGAACTCCCACAAATATCTATTTAAGGGAAACAAACTTCAATCCTGCCAAATACATATAAAAACTTCAATCCTGCCAACAAGGAGCCCTCAAAATTATTCAAACGACCTAAACTCTCTTGACATTCATACTTTGGCGAATAATGGGTCAGTATTCCTTGATTTCATGACTTGTTCTGAATCTTTTTGTTTGATCCCTTCGGCTGAATTTCATTTTAATATTGTTCGAAAAATTTCAACCATATAGATAAATATAGTTATCATACAAATGATGAAATGAGTTACGAGTCGTGATAGGAAAATAAAAGTATTTAAAAGTATTTATCATGCTAGTGGTTTTTTTTGTTTCACATTTTCACAATTATATACATTTTGACCATTCTAAATTGAGTAGCTTTTGCATGGGTGATGGCGTGATGCCACTGATGTGTCCATGTAATTTGACTATAGATTTAAGAACGTATACATTTTTTGTGGAACTAATGATAAAGCAGTAATGGTTAATGAAAAAATAATAACATTAACAGCAATAATACTCAGTTGTAATCCTTAATGCTACAAAATACATTTTATTTCTATCTTTATGATTGAAGTGCAAGTTCAATAGCTACCATGGATCAAAGAATATATGTATGCAACGAATATCAATTAATAAGAGTGATCAACCCGTTGCACGGGTGAAAATACTAGTAATAACAACAGTAGTAATAATGATAGGAGAATGAAGATTATTTCACTCATAAAAATGTTATGTATATAATGTAGTAGAGAAGTCAAATTGGTTTTTTTACAATTACTTGGCATCAGCATCCACTAAAGGAAAGTATATTTCTATATCTGCAAGGTTGAATCAATCACCTGGACCTAAATGAATCTAATCATCCCCATGAAATGCTATAAAAATCGCAGAGTGGGTATACTTGAGGACACTGTGCATGTATTTTCCTATGTACAATTATATCAATAGGACCGATCACAGACGTGGTAAAGATGAAATGAATTAGTTGGATTTGTCGAGGTGGTTGAGGGATAGGAGAAGAGGACTGACTACTACTCATCTCCACCCAAATTTTGGGATTTCCGGGGTGCTGAATCAACACCGCGACCTGCTGTGCCGCAAAGTTGGCATGGCTTTGACGATCTTTGAGAGCACCAATGATCTGGAACACTTAGAAAGTGTGTGTCGATGAACTTTCTAAATCTCTTCTTGTATTCTTTAGGAGATATAACAGTGGGCAGCTGATTCTTAGGGACCACGAGTGAGGATTTGACCAAGTTCTCAAGTTGCTTATCCCATGTATATTGTCTGAGGTAGTCGATGATACCACACACAAGTTCCCGCCGCTCCGTGTCCACCCCCACAAGTAGAGAATAATCCATCACATTGATCATCTGCAAGCCGGGTAAAATACACTCCTATATTAGATTAGAAAGTTCAAATGTCTAGATCCCACTCAGGTCTGTTTTTCGGTACTGAACGTAAGTGTCAGTTAAAACCAACCATTAACCAAAAAAACGCATTTAGTCACATGTTTAAACCCGATGAGCAATTTGGAAACCGATGTTTTGTCGGTAAGATCTTCAGTTTTGTCACTTTAATTGGTTACTTAGGATGTTTTTACTTGGACTGTAATTCCTCCCAGACCAGACCAGTTCAGACCAGACTTGGATAGTTATAAAAATACAAAGAAACCAGACCAAACCAGACCAGTTCAGACCAGACCAGCAAATTACAGTCCAAGTTAAAACATCCTTACTCACCCCCTAAGTATAGCTCTATCTCCCTGCATGCATCTGGACAAGTCGTAAAAAGTGCATATTGAGTTATTGAGTAGGAAAGAAAAATGCAAGCGTACATTGAGGAAACCACAGTCATTCCACACAGCACGTTGAAGATATCGCTTGGATTTCCTACTGACATACAAAGGAGAAGCATTCATATCGTTCACAAAGTTTTGATCAAGAAGTACATCTCTGCCCCCATCACTAGCTGTATTAAACCGAGCATGCAGAGCACCTTTAAGATCATACTGTCTAGTAATATTCCGACCAAATGAGAGATTCTCCATCACCATCAGCTCATGTTTTATTTCTTTTCCATTCTTTGTTTGTCTGATGGTAACCTGCAAGATTATTTTATCGGGTGGGTACGTTGTAATTGTAATAGAGTAAGGCGCTGTGTGGATTCTGGAAAAAGATGGGAAATGGAAAGAAAATGCTAAGGATTATAGGTTTAACTTACATGATTAAACCTATATAGGTTTAGTCTTTACATGATTAAAGATTTTGCAACTTTTACATAGGTTTAAAGTGTTTAGTATTTATATTTATATAATACTCCCTCCATATTTTATTTACTTGCAAATATATACTTGAAAATATTTTATTACTTGCAAAACATTCCTATATTTACTTTTGCACTTTTTCTACACACTTCAATACCCCTACTACACTCTTAAACTCCATGAAAACCCTATAGTTGCAAGTAAATAATATGAGGGAGTAGATACAAATAATAATGAATTCAAATATGTTAAAGATAAAATTTTATTGGATACTGTTTTATTTTCCTCAATATTTTTTCCTTCCAAACTTCTCCTGTATTTCCTTCCTATTTTCTTTCCCTATGATATCCTCGTTCCAAATGGACCATAATGGAGAGGGAAGAGCACAACAATGATAGTTAAAAATAACATAAAAACCTGATAAACGCCAAGAATTTTGGCAAGACAGGTCTGGTTCCCCATTTCGAAGCACTGATCCATATACTGAAAATACTCAGGACCAAACACCATAAATGACTCGTACTCAGTCCTCTTAATGCCCTTTATGATGAACCGGTCATCAAGAGTTTTAGCAAAGAGAGATTTACTTTTCCCACCTTTGGCTTCCCAAGCTTTACACCGACTTATTGAAGCTATGTAATTATCTTCAGATGTACAACAACGGTCCCGCAACTGCCGAAACTGTCTAGCAAAGGTACAAGTGACAGAGTACTTGCGTTTCCCCTGGTGCTTTTCAGCACCCATGTTAACTTCTGAATGATACACTTTTGAAAGAATTAAAGGATCCAAAGAATCTAGCCTATCAAAACTTGATGAGCTAGATTCTTCATCCAAAATAGCATTGGAAGAATGGCTCCGCCTTTCAGATTCTAAGGACTCCCCAGATGACCAATGTTGACCAATGTTGGCATCCATTACCCTATCTTTTCTTCTATCGCCATCCCCAAGATCGTGAACTAATTTGGGTAGTGAATCCTTCATTAAGGCCAACGCACAAGCAATTATGCTTGAGAGTTCATCCTCAAAGTCACACACAATGTACTCATCATTGTCACCAAGAGGAATATGCAGTTTCAAGGCTTCATCAGCAATAAGTCCAGATGCAACACTTTCTGCAGCATGACTAGTGACAAACTCAACTTTTGGCAAGTTCCCTTTTTTGAGATCTTTCATGAACTCAGTTTGAATTTCTGGAAACGGGGCCCATATCCACTCTTCACCTGCCCAAATCGATCCTGCATCACAAGTAGCCATATCAGGTTGCACTATTGGGTCCTTATTGCCTTCAAGAATGACAGAAGGTGATGATGATGATGACGAGTCATCTTGTATTAGTGATCCTTCAACTTGTTCATCAAGATGAGTTTCTTCTTCGATGTGAATATCAGTAACATCCAAATCAAGGGGAGATGTGTTTCTTGAAGCATTATCATCTATAGGGCCTTCAATGATGACTTCTACTGCGTCCATTTCATCTCCATCAGAACCATCTTCCAACTCATTTCTAATGCCAGCGTTGTTGATGTTGTCTAGAATAGAATTACCTTTTTCCAAGTCTGTCTTAAAATGATTGACTTTTTTCTCAACTTTTTCATCCTGTGTCAGGCAAGTTTTCCCATGCACCATGTTGTCAACTCGAGAATATCTATGTTTTACCATATTGATGCCAGATGACAGTAATGCATGGAGCCTTCGATCCCAAATCCATGACTCAAGCAAAAGCACCAGTCGTATTCTGTTCAAGCTCAGGAGTTTGTAAGCAAAGTTATCCACATTCCCGTTATTGATATGGTCAATATCAACCTGACATTGCATTGGTATGGGTAAAAAAGAAATCAGTGAAAACCAGCCTTTACTTGAACCCATAACATTATTTCAACAAACAAGGGAACACCATTAGAGATAGTTACGGATTTATTGAAAATATAATGCTTATTATGGGATTACTTCGTAGAAACAGCACTTCTAATTAGGGGTGGATTCGGTTTGGTTCCCGAACCGGAATAAGAAAATTCCGAACCAAACCGAATTTTTGGTTTCTCAAATACCGTAACCCGTAACCGAACCGAATGTTACTGAAACACAAATTTTCAGAAACCAAAATTTCGGGTTGGTTTTCGGTTTGATGAAAAACCAAATGAGTTTCTCAAAATTGGACTAAGGCTAAGCTTTGAAGGAGCCTTGAACGCATATTCCAGCTATCTATCGAAGGGGCGTATATATAGGGACGAATGAGGAGTAAATCCTCTGTTTCCATCGGTGTGGGAAATTTCAAAAAAAATAGAAAATAAAACGAAAAGAACTGGTGGCAGGCGGGATTCGAACCTGGGTGAAAACGCTAGTACGGTCACAGACTGCAGAGGTGTCTACGCTAAACCGCTGAACCGCATCAAAGAGTTGTTAAAAGTAGGACTTACATACATTATATTACCCAAGTTTGCTGCAGAATAAATAATTAAATATCCCTTAATAAAATTCGGTTTAGTTCGGTTTGAACCGATTTTAAAACTCAAAAAAACGTATTTAAACTGATTCATGTTCGAGTCCTGACTTTCGGGTCCCGTTCAAGTCGGTTCAGTTTCGGTTCGGTTGTTTTATTGCCCGGTTCAGTTTTTTCGGTTCGGTTTTTGGTTTTTCGGTTTAAAATGCCAGGCTGCCAGCCCTACTTCTGATATTCCATATCACAGTGATGTGCTTGAAATGTATTGAAGTTAGCATTGGGTTATTTGGAGTAAATTTCAATGCAAGTAAATATTTGATACATCACTGATCGGTCTCTGTGTGTGTGACTATGTTTGTGTCCATAACCTAAATTACTATATCAGAATTCATTCAATAAATGCCAAGTTTTCATCATAACAAATCCCAACCTCTAATTTATACGGAGTATCATCCTTCATCTTCTTTGGCAGAATTATTATTGTAGTTTTTGCTCAATTATTCATGTAGCAAAATTCATCGCCATGCTGATGCATAAGATATAATATGATTTCACTAAACACTATTGTGATTAACTTTATCAAACCTAATCTTTGGAACTTTGGAAGACACATGACAAGTGCATAATAAAGTAAGTTTCCTTTTCTTCTCTTCAGCATTAAGGGAACTTTATCCATGTGTATGTATCTTTTACTTTTCCATGTCGCAAAATGTATCAAAAAGCATGGGGTTAAATGATACTACGTATGATGCAAAAGAAGAATTAGAGAAATCAAGGGCATAATGTAGAAATGGAAGAAAAGCATTATATTACGGTATTACCACACAATGAGCTCACAAATGAGTATATTTATTGCGTTAGTGATGGAGGGAAGAACCTAACCTCAAATTGAGACCTCTCCACCTTCAACATTGCCTCAATTTCAATGAATTCTTTAGGAGTTTCTCCAAGGTTAAAATGTGTGCCGAGGGAATGAGACCACATAACCTTTAAAGTGTTCTCAATATCCTTAAACATCTGAAAACCTTTTGAATACACCTTGAAGGAAAAGAAGTTCCATTCTGAGTTCTGTCTATAACTAAATAGTATAAAATGCTAGTGGCTATGCATTAAAGAGTTAAAGACTTGTAAAGTTACATACATTTTTGACATCTTTGTTCATAAACTCTCCTTTTATGGGACTATTAAACTCAAGTTGCAGAGGAGGCACAGACACCGAATACGTAGCAACAGTTGAGTATCTGAACATGGCAACCATTTGGCCCATTCTGCATATTAATGAGGAAAACCTTAGATATTTCAAACACGAGAGCACCAGATAGGTAATAACAAAATCATAAAACTAATCTCGAGGAGTTTCTTTATGATTTCATGCATGCACAGAGAAAGAGAAGCGATAAAAGTGAAGGTATAACATGCCATGATTGGACAAGCATCCTCTACCATCTTAGCTGTGATTATAAGGAATGGAAAGCAAGAAGAAATTCTGATACAGAACAGCATACTTAGAAGGCATTGCATAAGAGAAAAGGAAGCAGAGCATTTAAAAACAGATATACTGCAAGTCTGCAACCATTCATACCCAAAAAAGAGTACAAAATCCCTGTGAAGAGAATGTCCACAATTAGACGGTTCACTGAGGAAAGAGGAATTGGAGAAGGTGAGCTCCAAAAATCTTCCAAATGATAGGCCACGGGCAGCAGCAGATATCAAAACTCGTTTTGTAGAATTTAAATTTCCATTTCCATGTTTGCATTTACCACAGCGACTCCACATCCAAAGCTTCCCTTCACTTGCACCTGACAGGCCCCGGTCAGCAGGACAACGACGAACTTGAATCTTGAGCTGCTTATCATGATGCGCATAGTAAAAAATATGAACTTCGGGCGGTTCACCACAAGTTCTGCACAGTAGGTTCTACACACAAAAAGAAATTACATGACCAACCACCCCAAGTCATGCAAAATCATGGTAAGGAACAACTCAATACTATGTATAATGGTTCTTTAAAAAGTAAAACATAAAAACCTCTCACCATTGGCCACCAAGGCTATAATGAAACTTAAGTAAAAGTTGGAAGGGTTTTGACAGATGTAGAAAGTTTGAGTTCAAAACCTGAGTTAGCAAATTATCCAGCAAAAAAATCCCAAGGGGGGCATCAAAATCCTTGTAGAACCTGATATGTGAAAAATGGCTATGCTCACACATAATCCCTTTAGAAGCATTTCGGCTTGACATCAGAACCAAAATGCTTTCAGAATCCAATAATGTGCTGATATCATCTCTCCCATTTTTTTTATCTTCATATAAATTGTTCTGTGGGTCCAAATCTTCTTCAAGACTCTTTGAAGAAATGAGATTGTTCTCATTCTCAAAATCCTTTTCTTCATCAGGGAATATTTTAGGTTCTTTAACACCATAAACTACTGCTGATGGGTTGGAAACTTGAACCTCAGGTTGGACCTGATCATCCATGATGCTTGTAAACCCAAGATGGGAGGGTGTAGATTGACGGGACGAAGACAATATTGGAAAACTTTCCCCCATGACTTCTCTTAGAGAAGGAAAACCAGAAAGGATGATAGGCGTGTACGCCTCTAGCGACAATGCAGGTTTGCCTTCTGACTGTAAGTTTTCATCTCCATCTGCATCGAACCCATTAGAAATCACAATATCGACTGTCGAGTGAATTCGAGAAAGAGAATCTTCACTATTAGAAAAGCTTTCTGTACCATCACCAGTAGATATAGAATTTTGTTTGTTAGCTGATACTGTCACCAAATGTGTTGGGGAAATAGTAGAAAACATTGCCCTCTGATCCAGAAGGAAGGATGTCTCAAGGATTAAATTATATGCCATCACAACAGCACATCTGACCACACATTTAATCCTCTTTAATTCATCACTGTTACTCCCCATCAATAAAATCTGTCAATGAAGGTTTGTAGCTCTAACTTCAAAATATAGAAAGAAAAAGAACTGGACACGCAAGGAGTAATTAATTATATGCATATCCATAAAGGTCCACTGAGATCACAGAAAATGCTAGGGTGAAATTTTCGGGAGGAATATACAGGAGAAATTTGGACAAAAAGATAATGTTAAGGAAAATAAAATATTGGTTCAAGCTACACCCTGATCAAGCAAATATGTAGCTCTTATTCCTATGCAGATTACAAATCTTGAAAACAGAAACTATTTGGTTGTAGGTAAGAGTAAGATCAATATTTACTTCTCTATTCCTCGATTTACCTACATGACATATGATAACCTACCCTTTTCTGTTTTTTCCTACCGTTTATCTCTTTATTATTCATATACAATTTTAGAACTTTGTCCTAACTTTATAGGCGACTCATCAAATGAAGCAGAAGCTGATGATTGTGTGTGTGTGTGTTGAAGTTTTATTTCCCAATGAGAGCAACCTTGTGATGCACATTACAAACAGTTATCCTCTACAGATATTTTATTTGTTAGAGTTAAGAAACATGGATGAAAAATCACCCAATGACTCAAATAAGAGGAAAGAAGGTTCAAAATATCATGACAAGGGCCAAGTACTTTTGTTTGTATTTAACATTCTTTCATAGGAGAAACCCACGACCCTCATAATATAAACCTACTGAAAACAGGCAAGGTGAAACCGTGAAAGCTCACTCACTGAACATCCAAGGCGAGTGGAACACCCTTCAATAAACATCAGTGTTTTGTTGGGCTTCCTTCCACCTTCACGAGAAGTAGTATGTTCCTCAGTGAACTTCTCAAAATGGAATGAATCGCAGTGCTTTAGCTTTTGAGTTTGAGCAGTAAAAGAATCACAGGATAAGATAGGTGAACCAGTGCATCGAGCAACTCTTTCCAGGCGATGAAGTTTCATGTCAAAGACTAATGTCATTCCTTTGTTGAGAATGGATTCCAGTACATCTCGAGAAACAGCTTTCTCCACTAACACAATATTGGGGTGGCACTTTTCTAACATTTCCTCGAACGATTTGAGGCCATCTTTTTCTTGCTAATGGATGAATAATGATGACAGTATGTCAGATAATGTGTATTAGAAAATAGTATTTCAGTAGGGCTTGCTTACATGAATGTAACGTAACAGAATGAAGTAATACTACCTGTTGCATTGATTCAAAAGAAGACAATTCATTTGAAGAGAGGCCAAGTGCTCCACGAATCAAAAGTAATCTGGGGCTCTTGAACCTTGCCGGCATGTGTTTGTGAGCAGCATGCTTCTTGAAGACTAGACCTTTAACAAATTGGCTGCAAATGCATCACAAAGCGACTAAAGTTTGAATGTTGCAATACAAAAACAAAACTGTTAGGAACATCATGTTGAAAAGTTAATCATTGAAAGTAGAGAAGCAGGAACAAGGATCACTTGAGGTATGCTAAAGTACCATTCAAATTAATTACATAAACAAGTTATCCTGTTTACCATCATTGATCAATCTAGAGAGAGAAGGGAAATGAAACATAAAATATTAATACCTTTGATTAAGAGTGCCAGTTGCAACACATTTTACTTTAACATGGCTGTCAGGATCCATTGCCTTTCCCCCAGCTGCAACAAGCTTCACAAATGAAGCCGCATTCCATGATAGACAAGACACTACATCAATCCAACTGTCACAACCTTCCTGCGTGGGTTTTATACCTACAGACCTCAGAAGTTGAGCAACAAGCTCCTTAAACTTCCCCCTCATAACAACCTCCATCGCCTTCCTCTTTTCCTCTTTGAACTTGATGCTCCCAGAGTCCTCTTCTCCAAAGCTAACTAAATTCAGACCATCAGCATATTCTACCTCATCATCATCATCATCATCCTCAAAATTAGCCACACTCCCCTCCATATCCAGATCTCTGTCTTCGGGATCTGGTGGTAGCCAGAAGTCAGCCTCCATTTCAACATTCAAAGATTTTCCTGTTTCTTCATCAGCGTTGCTTTCTACTCTACTATGTTCCGCTTCTGAACTTCTATTAGAATTTGGATTTGGATTAGAGTCCACATTGATTCCTGTACACATAAAGTCTTTATCATATATTTCCCACATTCACTTCACAGGTTAAAGAGTCAGAACTCAGAGCAATATGTACCATTTGAAGAAGGTCGTAAGCTAAAATCATGAAGACCCCCATTTACATTAGTACTGAGACACTCTTGACTGCTGTCTGTGCTGCTTTCATCAACACACCCCCTGATTTACAAAAACAAAATGGAAAAAACTGTCAATAGAGTAAGAGCATCTAAGGTTACACCATCTTTTTTCTTACGAAAAGGCAGAACATTGCTAACCTGCACTCAGAGTTTACATCCACTGAAAAATCACCTGAGAAGCATAACAACATAATCCAGCATAAAGACTAAATGTAAAATTGAGGATGTTTTTACTTGGACTGTAATTTGCTAGTCTGGTCTGGTCTGAACTGGTCTGGTTTCTTTGTATTTTTATAACTATCCAAGTCTGGTCTGAACTGGTCTGGGAGGAATTACAGTCCAAGTAAAAACATCCTGAGGCAACAGAAAAGTTTTGAGGAAATAAGATAGTTAAGAGAAGCTAACTGCAACTCGAGATGGATCTTTCACTAATTTGGAATGAAACAGTTGGACTGATTGATTCCACCCCTTGAGAAGTTGAAATCTCTGGATCGACATACTTCCTATATGTCATTTCACCATGGGAACGAAATGACTGAATTGAATTGATGTCATTTAACCTTTTAGACTTATCACTTTCCTGCTTCTCCATGCCGCAGATTTTGAACCACAGCAATGACCCTGTTAGATCTTACCTGAGGAATCTATTCAGCCTGCATATTCAAACCAGAAAGATTCACCCAAATGCTAAATGAAAAAACTAGTACCAAGATAAAAAAAAAACATATACCACCACGGGGTTCTAGGGTACTAGTCCATACACCAACTCATTATCATTCTCCCAAGAATAGGCAAAACTCACACAGACCATGGAAGGCAAGATATCCTCTCCAGAAATTATGTTAAAAAAAGACAGTCTAGTATCTGTACTGTTATCAACTTTCCCTAACTATGAAAAGAATTCAATTTAAAAAACATTTGATTAAGAAACTGATTATATACGCAATCCATGACTGAACAAGTGAAACACCTCCAATGCAGAACAAACACGCAAAGAAAATGGCAACTGCTCTAGTCAAAACCCACACACCAAGTCATGTTATTGTCATAGGGACTTCGATATGGTATGGAGCAAGCCACAATCATTCCAAATCCAGACAAAGAAATGGAGTATATATGTAAAATCGTACCCAGGAAGTAAAATCGTTCATTTCGAGTATGGAAATTTTAAGTTCCCAACAGGAAACCAAAGAAGGCATTACAAGATCACGATTATTACGGTAAGGCTTTCCATTTATGGGTCAAAACATTCGGGTAGAACTGAGTAACAAATATTAACATAAATTACTTACAGTAAAAAGAAACTCAATTCAGACGCAAGAACAATCGCCCACACAGCAATCCGTACCAAAACCACCGCTGCCTCCCTCGGAAATTCCGGAAAGTCCCAGAGAGGCTGATAAAACAGTAGAGAGAGAAAGTAAAGATGAAGTTAGAGAGAGGAAGGCAAGAATTGTGCCCAGAGAGTGGGACCCATGCAGTTAATGCTCTAAACAATTCGAGTAGCAAACTTATTTAGGAGCATGGAAGATGAAGGCATAGTTGGATCTATGAACACCAGTTGTAGGTACGAAGTAATCGTCTTGATTCTTGAACGAAAGCGTCAAAGAATTTGAATAGTATACGGATACGTATAAATTTGCTGTACCCGAGAACTTTTAACACGTACATACCTGCTGCATATGTACGTCTTCGACCGTATTTGCCTTCCCTTCAACTACCTTCTCTTCTGTCTCACGTTTGACTTTGCAACCATGGAGAACGTCAGAATGGTAAGTAGAGAGGGGAGAAGATTAATTACAAAGTTTATTTGTATGTGGAATGCGGTGACTGGTCAAGGCAAGATTAATTACAAAGTTTATTTCAAGTTTCACGAACTTGAAGCTTAAGACCACCAGAATACGAGTTTAGAAGAAATTTGAAAAACGTTATGACTTTTTGTTTAACTGATTTGACTTTACCCTATTCGCGTAATTAACTCCCGGGAGAACTGAACGATGAAAATGTAACATTATTTTGAGATTAATGATAATAACATGTGTGGTGTGGAGTGTGGACTTCCATATTTGACACAATTACATTTTGTATAACATCACTTAAATATTTAAAACACGAAATTTACATATTCTATAAAGTCATTTGCACCATTGATCCAAACCAATGGTACAACAATTCGTAGGATTTAAGGATTTTCCTTCATTATTTTCTCATGAATAGGTACAATACAAATGATTATATGAACATAAAGGTCTATACATCTCTTTTGAAGATAAAATAAATGTATGAATACGATCAATAGGTTGTTGTGTTCAATTAGTAGACTTTTGTCTTCGATCAGGAGGCTTCTGCTTTCGAATCAGAAGAGACTGATCCAGAAAACATGGGATTCTGATTAAGGTATACGTATGGGCATTAACTAGTCCGTAATAAGACAGTAATTTAGAAAATATCAGTTTGTATTGATGTGATCCATATTTGTCTACAACAAGATGATGGGTATATTCGGAGTATTTTGATATTCTTTACATAACTTAATACATTAGAAATGCTTACCTTTAAGTTTAAACACTTACAGAGACAACTTTGATATATTTTTCATCAAATTTGCTGAATTCGTACCGATGGGTAAAGATTTGAGTGAAGTTTTGAAGGAAGACGTTGATAGCTACCGCTAAAAATAAAGATGAAGCTACTGATGTATGCATCAAGATGGAAGTAGTTAGACTACGATGCTTTGTAATTATTATGATTAGGATCTTGGGAAATTAAAAAAACACGTAAATTCCTTCTTTTGGTCATCAAGCGTTGTTCCTAAATATTGGTGACAATCGGTTTGACTATGTGTAATCTTGTTTTTTAGTGACATATCAAATGTTTGATCACTCTTATTTAGTGTTGAGTTGATTTATAATGTCGGTTGAAGTATGCAATATTGTCCATAAGTAGACAGTACCAAGTCCTTAATGTCTCATGCACAGGCATTAAATTCCTACAGTTAATATAAGTACAAATTTTAGTACAAAATTATGAACCAACTATGAAACTTGATAGATTCAATCGTTGAAATGAGATTTAGATATATTTCCCATGCATAGGTACAATGTAAATCACATGAATATGAACATAAAGGTATATACATTGCTTTTGAAGACAAAATAGATGTATGAGTACAATCAGAATGTTGATGTGTTCAATCAGTACTTCAGCGGCCTTCTGTCTTCAATCAGCAAGTGCGAGAGGCATGTTGGTGGTACCTAGTGGGAGTAGAATAACATCGTACCCATTACTTAACACCTATCTCATACAAATTTTGGGTCTACCCGTAATTTTTCTTGTTGTGATCACCTTTCTTGCACCAAGAACAACGCCGATGAGATGCAAATCCACCAGTTGAGGGTATGTTCTTCATTTTGTCCGAATAAGATTCCTTATCGAGAACACATTTTTTGCACAGGCACATGCCATTTGTTTCAAATTAGCAACAAAACTTCAAGAAGTCTTAGCACTAACAGGCTTCATGGATGAACCATCAATAATAATAATTGGAAAATAATGTTTCCAGCTCTCTATCCATGGATTGAAAGACATAAAAAGTACTTAAAACGAGTATCATCACCAATAATCAGTGAGATCATTGAATCTTGATTCTTTTGTTTACATATGGAAGGGATGACATAAACTGGTAAGACTCCTCATCTAAACTCATTTTTCTAGCCTTTAGGTTTGCATTCCATACTTCTTTGTAAGGAAGCATCGCACCATAATCTCTATTTATGTCAAGCACTATATCAATAAGAGCTTAAGATTTTCAAGATGCATTTGCATAGCAATGCTTTATAAGTTCTGTAATAATTTCATATGTGGCTTGATAATTTCATATGTGGCTTGAACACAAAACATAGACAATTGTAGACATTAAACAGTCCTTACACAACTACATAGAGACATTAAAATCCAACGCAACAAAGGATGTATATGAAACTCAGAACGTGACATGTGACTTCAAAATGCAAATCATGTACCTTCTAATATGGAGCATATGACTTCCAGAATAACATGCAATACTCTGGGTTTGAAGTATTTATCATATAATGAAAATGATTTGTAATTGAATGCATCTTTAAATGGTAATCTAAAGCTTTTTTATTTTTATATATAGCATGTTTGAGTGTATGAGTAAGATGAAAGTGAGAAAAAATTGTAAAACCAGGAACAAAACACGGAAATCAAAATGGGAGGCTGAATCAAAACTGAGAGCTTGACTCGAAGAACATAATTAAAGATGAAACCGTATTGCTATGAATGATTAAGTTGTGTTCTGAATCTTCATTGGAAGAGGAATGTAGGTCTTCTAAATTTAGTGATCAATACATATACACTAGTGGAAAACCCCCAATTAGAGGCGCTTTTTTAGGCCACGTGCGGCGCTTTTAAGCGCCTCTAAATTTTGTGCCACAACGCGATATCAGGGGCGCTTTTTAACAGAGAAGCGCCTCTAATATATATTTTTTATTTTTACTTTTCGTAGCTTGCGGCGCTTATTTAGCAAGAAGCGCCTCTAATATTAGAATTACTTTAGCATGCGTGCGGCGCTTATTAGGTGAAAAGCACCTCTAATCACTATTGTTCTTTATAAGTCTTGTGGCGCTTATATTTAAAAAGCTCTTCTGATTTAATTGTTTTTTATTATTTTTTTCTTTTCTCTTTTAAAATCTATACAAATAACTACGTGTCTACGTTATATTAAGCATTAAACAACATCATTTTTTTTAACAAAGATCCATTTAAATGTAACATCACAGATATACAAAAGTTTGTTCTCAAAGTAATTAACATCGTCCATGCACTACAACATACTACCTAGAAGCTACTCTATGCAAGGATTACATCATTTTAAATTTCATAACTACATCAATAGAATATTTTGACTATATCGTATTTTCTGATATCATTGAATTTTGTCAATGTATATGATTCACTTCTTGAGCTCCAAACCTGGAAATGTTTATTAAACGTGTATAAATCAGCTCGATAGTATAAAGACTTAATTACACAAAAACGTTAATATAAAATAAGCAATTTAGTCAACACAAAACATATCCATACATATGCAACATATTTAATATGTTACAGAGTATTTATAAAATCTGATTCTGTAGCATGAGTTACGTTTATTTACAACATGTTTTTTATATCTCAACAAACAAAATGAATAAGGAACTTGAGACTTAAACATAAAAAACTATAAAACATGGATTATATATTTAGACGCAAATTTGTGAAATGGAACATGTACGGTTGAGTATTGCAACATAGAAAAATATTGATGGAGAAAGCAAGATGATAGTGCAGGTCTAGAGAGAGGTGGAAGCTATGGCCTGTAACTGAGATATTGAAATGCAGTTATTTGATTGCAAAACATAATATGTTTTGAAAAAGAAACCCCTTTAAATTAAAGCACATTCAGAATTTAGAAACCTATCAGACAACATCACTATGAAAAGAAGGCCCCTAAAATTCATAGTTTACATTGAAATTTGAAACATGTGAAGCATAACTATACAATGACATACTGAAATTTTCATAGCATGCAAATAGGTGAGAAAATTCCAGATTGCTCCAAAAAACTGTATCAAGCTATCTGTGCAAATAGAGAAGATCAAAATTAAAATTTAAATGTACAAGAATAGGAGGTGGAGAAGAACATAAACAAAGATAGACCAATAATCCGAGAAATGGAAAACTAACTTGTAATGACTAATGACAACAAATGTAACATATGAAAATAGATAATTAGTCGGGCTTGGAGAGGATATCAGGCTGTACATAGCTCCTCTCTGGTAACTTGAAGAATTAAATATGTCAAAAATAAATTTAAAAACAAGGCATATCAACACACATTTTAAAGTAACATACCAAGTAACATGTATGAGTTAAGATGATGGGTTGATCCTTCTAAAATCTTGTGCGTTCATACCTCCAGCCAAAAAGCCTCAACAAGGGCAAGAAATCTAAATTCATAGTTTTAAAAGCTAAATTCGGGGAAGGGATATGCAGTCTCAGGTTCATGCAAATATCATTCAATTAAAAAATTAGGTATACAAACAAGATGAATCAATGTCATAACCTCAAAAATTGTTTTATCAACATTTTATAATCACTTAATCGGTAAAAATATCAAATACTTGTGGATTTAAAGTCAAACCCTCCAAATTTCAGACTTAAATATATAGAATAAATAAAGATATACTCTTTCTTACCTAGATAATGTGGTCGAAGGGGTAGCTAGAGCCGACATCTATAGTGACGGAGGACGGCACAACGAAACAAGGTGTGACTGCCTCAAGTACTGTAACGGCGAGAACTTAAGTTCGGCTCGACGTTGTTAAAAAACTATTTACAGCCGGGCAGGTGCGGGAGATAGCAGGGAATCGCGGGTCGATGACGATGGGGGTGGCAAGTACGGAAGTCGGTGGTCAGATGTGCTCGAGCCCGATCTGTCCGCAATGATTTTCTACCCTCCTCATCAGCTCGGATCTGAGTATCTATTTGCACTTTGGGCCCGTTAGTTAAAGCGCTACACGCTACTGTCTTTTTTGTCTAGAGGCGCATACACGGAAGAAGCGTCACACGCACTTTCCATTTTT